CGCTAAAATCTAATGACAAAAGAAACAAAACGCTTACAAACTGCTGTCCTCTTCTGTTGCTCTACTGCTTCTTCTCTTAGGATGCCTATGTGTATAAATGACTCACTTAATATTTTTCTGTCTGATCCAATTCCTTGTCCATACAAGAGCAAAATCTGTTCAGCTGAGTGATAGATGAACAAACACAACAGATTGAATCAGAAAGTCACATTTATCGCAGTTATTTGCTGTTATCTCACTCTCTCTGTCTCCTTTTTCAGATGAATGTGGGATAGTTGCTCAGATCTCTCAGCCTCTTGCAGACAGTGATATATCAGCGTATTACATTAGCACCTTCAGCTTTGATCATGCTCTGGTAAGTCCTTTTTTCTCTCTTTTTGACACACAAAACATTTTAGCTCTGAGTATTAGTTGACTGATGTGGTTTTTGCAGTACATTAATGCACAAATATAATTAATAGACCCATTCAGGGTGATAAAAGATCCTGATCACCCTGTGTGCGTTTATTTTGTGATAATTATCTGCTGACATTCAGTCTGTAGAGGTCATGTGTCTAGTCTACAGCATTTATATTTAGTACATTTGAATCATTTGTGTGACACTGAGCAACAGGAGGCAAATGGTTGCCTAGTAACCAGGAAACAGAAGAATTTCAGAATCTGATCTGATTGGACGATTTTCGCAACAACGCCTATTGCAACGTTTATTTCCATGATGTCATGTGAAATCAGATCATCTGGTTGTCCTTGCTTCCTGTTCCTTTCCTTTTTTCCTGGAAACCCTCAAGTATTTTAGCAGAAACTGTCTGGTTCCCGATTGGTCAGGGGATCGTTCTTACTCATCATTAGATCATCGTTATAATTTAATATTAAAATGTGCTGTCTTACAAGACTCTCTGAAATACTTGCTTCTGATTGGTGAATCACAACATTGTGCATGGAATGTCAAATATTTTTGTAGTATATCACAGTTCAAATCGCAGTTGCAACATGAAAAAATAATCACAATATTTTTTTGTCCAAGTAGTGCAGCCCTATATAGGCTATACACAGTGCTGGGTAGATTACTTACAAATTGTAGTCCAATATTGATTACAAATTGCATGACGAAAATTGTAGTTGGTAACCTAATCTATTTTTACACGTTTACATCTATGTTTACACATTTTAGTTTACATTTAGGTGTAGTTGGTAGGAATGTTCTGTAGGGGTAGTTGATGAAAAGCAAATTAGTTAAATCATAAAAATTTAAAAAATAAATACATTTAAATAAAAACAATATTTGAACAGAAATATAAATATTTTATTTGTTTACCTGCATATGATTGTGACTATTAACTCTCATTATAATTTATATAATAATAATAATAATGTATGCATTTAGCAGACGTGAATATGCGAATGTGTTGTTAAATTATTGAAATATTAACTTAAAATCTCTAGACTTCAGGAAAATATTTTAGGTCAAAATAATGTGCGAATAATAAGTAATCATGCAATCCATAAAAAGTAACTGTAAACTAATTATAAACATTTTAACAAGTAATGTAATCTAAGTCAAGTACTTACTTTTTGGAATTTGATTACGAAATCTGGATTGCATGTAATACATAATTTTTAAAATAAAAGCACTTTTATTCAAATGAAAACACTGATCATTTATCGTCTTACTTGCAGGTCATGTGACCTTTAACCGTCATCAGAGAACCGTAACATTCAAATGTTCAAATGATTGAAATATCAGCATATTTTTTTCCGGCTGACATACTAGTTTTGGAACCACCGCTATACAGTAGCATGTAGGTGAATTTATTTAATTATTTTTTCTGACACTAGCATCCTTCATGATTCATTCAAAATCGAAGAGACATGATTCAGTCATCAGTGATTTTAGGATGTTTTTCCACATAAACCGAATAAACCATACTATATATAGGTTAACCATTGCTATATATAGGGTATGGTAATGATATAATCCTTCAGTGCAAGCCAGTGAAGTCCCCGCCACCAGAATCATGCGTTCACATGACCTTACGGTAAAAGAGGAAGTGTAAGGAATAGTTCATACCTGTTGGTATTCAAACTTGCGCTACTTTGTCATGATCTTCATCTGTTTCTGTTTCTTCATCTTGTTTTTTTTCCACCCCTACTCTTTTGCCATAGTGTCACAAAAACAATTATTATTATTGTAATTTATTTTATATTTATTATTATTTTATATAAACATTTACTTTGTTTGCTGTTGTTAATAATAATACTTATTATTATTATTATTATTGTTGTTAGCATTTATATATTTATAAAACTATTCATTTTTATGATTTATTATTATATTGATAATTTTCTAAGGGTCCTGGCTCTAAACATTGTGTTTAAGACAATGTGTAGAGTTAAAAATACATTTTAAAGGTTAAAATACTTTTTAGAAATACTGTTTTGGAACGGTATTTTTAACTTCTGAAAATATGTAGTTCCATATGCATGCGTCATTGTGTCTGTCCATAAATACCTCTGTGCATCCATCCATCTCTACAAGAAAACATGCACTGTTATCAGTCCGAGCTGATTCGTATGAGATGATGCATCTCTGTTTACGCCCATCCTACAAAACTCTTCATACCAGTGTGTGTTGTTCAGCTGACAGCATGTGACATCCCTAACAAATATTGCATGTTTGGATGGGACGTAATCATCCTTGTATTTTTGTGTCATCTAAGCCTAAATCTTTTTTTGTCTCAGGTGCCGGAAGAAGACATAGTGAGCGTGACCGAGATGCTTCAAGCTCAGAGGATGTCCAGTTGAGGATGCGTCTTCAGATTGAAAAGGGTAGAAAAAAAACCTTCACGGTGGATGGTAGATCTTATTTGAGCCACTAACACACAGTATTACTCCACAAGTCTGTCTTACCATAACCAGAGGTGCTTCAGTCACTGCATTTGAGAGCTTGGGCTTAAAACAGACCTAAACTCAAAAAACAGTGGCATCTTGCTTTTGCAGAAACAGCAGTGCTGATTATATACCTTTACCATTAATCAAAGTATTTACATGATTTGAAAGGACATTTTTGCGGCATGTTAATGATCGATTATTTGAAGCACTTTTTTTCTTAATTGAATTAGAAGATGAGAGGACGTTATCGATTTTGGATGTATTTGAGCCACTAACACACAGTATTACTCCACAAGTCTGTCTTACCATAACCAGAGGTGCTTCAGTCACTGCATTTGAGAGCTTGGGCTTAAAACAGACCTAAACTCAAAAAACAGTGGCATCTTGCTTTTGCAGAAACAGCAGTGCTGATTATATACCTTTACCATTAATCAAAGTATTTACATGATTTGAAAGGACATTTTTGCGGCATGTTAATGATCGATTATTTGAAGCACTTTTTTTTCTTAATTGAATTAGAAGATGAGAGGACGTTATCGATTTTGGATGTTTATTTCTGCATTTTCAGGGGTAGTGATAACACGATGTTCTGTAATGCGCAACAGGAAATTCCCTGTTTGGTTTACCTGCTGCCATGATGTTCTGCAAAAATCATTATTACTTTGAGGATTGCACACAGACGTCTTCCAGTATTGTCAGTATCAGGTTTTTTTCTTGAGTAACCCTGTTTGAGGTCAAGCTAAATACATTTTATTGTTGTAGCAACTTATGGTGTCATTGAAACATTGCACTTAGAAAAGCAGTTACTGACAGTGAATATTCGGATCACTTTTGAATCAGCATTTCAAACGTATCTCGCAAATACCGGAGTCATACTGTTATGAATGATTCTTTTGTTTCAAATCACATTTACACCTAGTTGGGTAAATCTCTCAAGAACATATCCAGCTCATATTTCACCCCAAAAACGAAATCCTATTGTACAAATCATATTTTAGTTAAATAGCCCCTAGACCTCAGTAATCGTGAAAAAAGCCAGGAAATTTCAGTTTTGACAATATGGGACCTTTAAAGAAATAGTTCGCCCAAAAATGACAAGAAGAACAGATTTGGAGAAATTTGGCATCACAAATCCATAATAACGCTTCCTCCAGTGAAAAAGTCCATCACTTGTCGTCGTCTCACATCAAAATCCACCAACATATGTGTTCAGAATTTTTTTTGGACCATTTTCGCTTGTAAACGGTGCTTGATCTGTGAATATTTCTATTCTGATTCAGATTAGATGACATTTTCACTGGAGAAAGAAAATAACGCTTCCTCCAGTGAAAAAGTCCATCACTTGTCGTCGTCTCACATCAAAATCCACCAACATATGTGTTCAGAATTTTTTTTGGACCATTTTCTCTTGTAAACGGTGCTTGATCTGTGAATATTTCTATTCTGATTCAGACAAGACGATTTTTCACTGGAGAAAGCAATATTATGGATAGAGGTCTCGTATTTTAAGTGACTGAAGCAAAGGTTTGAAGTTAAAATCATCTTCATGGATGTTTCTTACGAACACACAGCTTTTCACTTCACAAGACATTAACTGTAGGACTGGAGTCGTTTGGATTACTTGTGGATTATTGTGATGTTTTTATCAGCTGTTTGGACTCTCATTCTGACGGCACCCATTCACTGCAGAGGATCCATTTCTCCAAATCTGTTCAGATGAAGAAACAAACTCATCTACATCTTGGCCTGAGGATAAGTACATTTTCAGCAAATTTGAGGTTCAGTTTCTAGTGTCGCTTTGTCAACGTATCTACAGTGTGATTAGGGAAATGCCTCTTGCACAACTGTCTGCCTAATGACATCGTTAGGTTTGACGACGCTTGTGACATTTCTGCCTTTGCTAATGCTCAAACATGTGGCCTTACACTCACTCTTGATTTTTGCTTAATGCCAGAATAGGCTGCTGTTTTGTGACCTATATTAATTCACTACCAGTGAACCAAGCACAAATATTTACACAAGTAGTGATCAAATTAAAGAAATTGAGTTAATGGAGAAATTCATGCAAGGAGAAATGCACTTATTGATTGTACTTTGATGGCACAATCACTAATAAATCCAGAAATCAGAACTGGTTAATGAATTAAGCTCTTTTTAGAGAGAAATATATCTTTGTTACAAATAAGCTCAATGCTTTTGGAAGAGCTGCTGAAACAGAAAATACTAAAATATTAGATTAATAATTAGGGTTACTTTTTGTGTGTGTGACTTTATGTATTTGCTAACACTTTTTTTTTAAATGTTAACTTTTTTTTTTCTTTATATAGTCGATCTATTTTTCAGGGCACCAGTGCTGCATAAGAATAATTGTCAAAGTGCTTTTTGAGATCATGGTATCAAAAATTGTAAATTAAAAATTGCCATTAAGGAGCTATTTTCATATGTTTATTTTATCTGATTTCTATCAATATCAGCAAAGACTAAGGTTACTGGTGTGCATAAAATGTGTTTGTAAAGGTCAGTAATGATTCTGAGCATTTGTTATTCTTGCTTTTTGTAGACTAGGTGCATTTATCTCAAATTAATTTTTGGTACATTTTATACAGTGTCAAAGGAATCGCATACCTTGTTTGTAACTGTGCTGCTTGTTCAATAAACGACTATATAAATACTGTTTTCAGGCATTTCTTAAAATGTGTTTAAATGGTTGTGCGTGCAGTCACAAAACTTGAAAGTACATTTAGTTACACTTACTGTATTTAGTTATGAGAAGAGCATAATTTTAATATGCCTGTTTAGTAACACTTTAATAGAATTGATAATTTCTTTGGTTAGATGATTTTATCCTTAATGTATTAAAAATTAATTAAATAGTTTTATAATTAATTAATTAATTAAATAGTTATGTGTGTGTGTGTGTATACATATATATGCATAAAACAGAAGACATGAAATTGAGCTTGACATACTTTTTAATGTGTATTATAATTCATTTTGAAGGAATTACATTGCGTTTTAAATTTAGTCATTGCAGGTGGTATTATTGGAAGGGACATTCCCTTCATTCCAGACTGCACTAATGGAAAATAAATTGTGTAGTCCATGATAAGTCATAAATATTTTTGGTCTGTTTTCCTGTAAGAGAAAAGCTGTAAGAGAGATGTGGGAGTGAAGCTTGAAGAAAAACAATGGCAGCTATTGACATGCGTTGACACCCTGATAACAGAAAAATATGACGTATTAAAATCATTCTTTTCCAACTCCCATCATTTCAGATTCCATAGCCAGTATTATTAAATTGAGTCAGATAGTGATTAAAATCAACAGACATTATTTCTATAAGCAGTGTGTGACATTAGATGATTATATCAGGGCTATATCTCTCAGAAGGCATCTTACGGTTAGATAATGGTTCGCTGTATAATAATACAAAATAATTATCATAGAAATTGATGAGGCAAAAATCAATCAAATCAAGCTTTCTCTCACTACATCAGTGAGCTCAACAGGGTAACGCATCTTGTACAATCATCTAACTTTCAACAGAAACTAAATATAATTTCAATAGCTTGTGCATCTAAAAACACTATATGTTTGTTTTCACACAACTCCAATAAACCATTCCTTTTCAAAACTCTAAACATATTTACAAACTAAACATATGTTCATGTAGAAAGCACTACCTATAATAACAATATCATAATGATAAACATGCTTTAAACTTTATATGAAGTTTTCTCTTATTTTTTTAAATATAATAAATGTTTTACTGTCCTTTACATGTCATCCTTCAGCTTGTTGTGTATAAAGGGGGACATTACATTAACATTTACGTTTATGCTATAGGGGAATTATATAGCATATTTTTACATTTTTCTTGTAAAACTTCTGCAAATCTGCCTTTTTGATAACACAGTACCTGTTGCAAAAGCATAAAATATAAAGTATAAAATATTCTACTCAAAAATAAATTTGGTCCAATATAAAATGTCTTGTTATTTAATAATAATAATAATAATAATAACATTTTATTATATATCTGTCCAGTTAAAGATAAAGGTGCACGTAGGCAATGGTAAAGTTTATGATGCACAAGGCAAAATATTTATACTGGTCATTGAAAAGTACCCATCTCCAACTAACTGCTTTATCTTTCAATTTTCATCACACCTTGTACGTGACACAAAGCCATTCATCTCCATCTGACAGTGTTGCATAGAAAAGCTCTAAAGTCTGAGCATGAAGCGGTTGTGGGCAGGATATGACAGTTAGACTACGTGAAAATAAAAACATTTTGGCCAGTTTCACACTTTCCTGTGCCATGATTAGCTCTGTCGGTTTCATCAAAGGGGAGTTTGATGCTGTGCTGTGATGATGCCATTGCGTTATCATCATATGTATCCACAGATCGAGGATTCAGATATTTGCTTGTGAATTACCTGTTCCTACCACACAAGGGAGTACTTACTCAAGCGTTCCTAATGCAGAAAGGAACAGGTTATTTCAATTACTCAAAATTTCCTGCACTTAGACAGCTGTGGAGGAAGGAAAACAACGCACTGTGATTATAACACCTTCCACCCAGTAATAGGAATATCAGAACATTAGGGGAATTATAGCATATTTTTCTTGTAGAACTTCTGCAAACCTGCCTTGTAACTTTTGATAACATACAGTATATGTGGCAGAAGTCACTGTAACATTAATACATGTACAGTCAAACAAGTCCAAACAGCTGATAAATACTTCACAATAAACCACATGAAATCCACACAACTCCAGTCCATCAATTAATATCTTGTGAAGCGAAAAGTTGTTTGTAAAAAACCATTATTAAAGATTCATACACCTTAGTACCACTTAAAAATATAATTGAATTGGATATTAAAATAAAAGTCATATGAAATGAAACTTTTACAGAATGTATACATGACTTTTTGTGTCATTATAATGTAAATTCTGTAATTGTTATTAAAAAAAAAGTAATATATATATATATACTGTATATATGGCAGGCAAAGCAGAATCCTAGTAAAAGAGATTCATTTAGAAGGTACATTTATTCTATGACTTACATACAGGCGTATTGATATTTACATATTTAATTGCCCATATTTTAATTGAAGATATGTCATAATAGCAACACTATGAATTCAAATTGAATAATTTCACTCAGTTAGGCTATCTCACTCAATTAGCACATCTAATTCATGGAAATATTGAATAATAACCCCATTAATTATAATAAG